AGCGAGACTCTGTGGAGTCTGAGGGTGCCTTCCACAGCTGCCCGTTTCTGCCAGCGGACAGTCGTGCTGCACCAGGACCCAGCACACGTGCGGAGGGGACGAGGGCCTGGCCCAAGCCTGCCATTCCCAAGCACCAAGAGGTACAGGGCCCTCGGGTTTTGTCTCCTGGGAAAAGAGCATCCCCTCACCCCAGATCCCACCCTCTGTGTGTGTGTGTGTGCGTGTGTGCTGGCACACGTGTGCTCTGAGGACCAATGTTTTTATTTTTTAGAGGTTTATTTATTATTTGAGAGAGAGCGAGCATGCGGGGGAGGTGGGCAGAGAAAGAATCTCCAGCTGAGCGTGGAGCCCAACGCGGGGCTCGATCTCACGGCCTTGAGCTCATGACCTGAGCCGACACCTGGAGTCGGAGGCTCAACCGACCGAGCCCCCCAAGTGCCCCTCTGAGGACAACATTTTTAAAAACGAGTCTAGACGTGGGACTTGAGGGAGAGCCTCTCTGAGCCTGGTCTCAGGTGGCCTGAGCGGAGCGTGGACGTGGCCCTGTCCCCGCGGCCACGGCCACACGGGAGCAGAGCAGGAGGCACATCACGGGCGCTGCTCCCTGAGCACAGGTGACACCAGGGTTCTTTCAGCTCAATTTATTTCCACAAGACAGAAGTGAGAGCCTGGGTAGCTCTCGGTTCTAACAAGAGTTCTTTTCTTTATAAAGAAGAAAAATTGTTCCTTGATTTTCTCCACAGAATGAATTTGTTGTTACAAAAAAATAATTTTTGATATATACATGCCTACTTTGGAAAACCTTTTTGTTCTTGATGGCTTTTAAGACCCATGTTTAGGCAGAGGGCCACTGGGCACGTTCCCCGGCTGATTCTCCCCTTGCCCTTGCCGGATGGCCTCTCTCCTTTCCGATTTCCCCTTCCTAAAGCATCTTACATGAAATGGAGAAGCTTGGGAAGCGTGACCTGCAGGAGGCCCCCCCGAGGGGGCGGTCCCTGTGGGCGGGTGGCCCGGGGGCCCCCGCTTCCCGGGGGGACACGGGCACGCTGGAGACAATGTTTACCCTGTGGATGTTTCCTCCCTCTCGGCGACAGCAGCAATGTTAAGAGACACACATGGCGCCTGCAGCATTTTATCTAGAAAGTACCACCGTCAGGGCAGGTGCAGACACGCCCACGTACAAAGCGATCGCCACAGAGCATGGCGGACACAGCCGGTTGTTCAGGACGCAGACTGGTAAAGTCTCAGGTAGCTCGCCCATCCCCACCCCACCCCCACAGGCTCCCATAGGCCAAAAATACCTCTATCCTGGACTACATAAAGCTTGTGAGTAGCAAAACTTGTAAAAATGAAGTGTACAAAAGGAAACGCCCATATAATACATTTGCACCCTGTAGAGAATTCATCACTCTTTGAAACGGGCCAACAGGCAGGCAGGACCAATCTGTCAGTTTGGGAACAGAGCCCCGACGTCCATCACACGCACCGAGCCGGAGGTCCGCGTGGTTTTCCAAAGAGAGAGGCTCATTCACAGTTACAGTACTTGGAGACCGTTTCCGTGGTTCAGAAGCCAGTGGCATTTCCCGGCATCTAGGTGAGTCACATTTGATTGTCACAACGTACAAATCTCACGGGTCTGAGACAATACATACAGGCAGACCAGAGGCATTTCTTCGTGGCCTCAAGTAGCTCAGTTTAACTTAACACGGCTTAGTGCATTTCAGGGCCTTATCGTTCGACGTCTGTCCCATCACTTTTGAAACAGGAAGTTAAGAAACTGAAAAGTTGATGAGAAAAGAAAACTCCAGGAGGACGTGTCATTACAGAGCTTAAAAATGTTAAGCAATGCCATTGTCTTTGAAAGGAACATTTGGTTGCTGACCGGGCTGGCTGGTGTCCACTTCTCTGGCCATCTCCTAGGTCCCCTAAAAGTACTCTTTTCCTTAACGTCCCTGAGCAGCTCATGGGGATGCCACCAATTTCACGGAATTGGATGGCAGCAAATGCTCATGTTAAGACTGAGTTCATGTGTGTCCACCCCTCGGCCAAGCAGAACACAGCGTGCCATGTTCTACCCCCACCCCTTCCCTGCGCTGGGGTGTCCCGGCCCTGACAGGCGAGGGTGTGGAACCCGCCCCGGGGCCCCGGGCGCTCACAGAGGCTCACTTTCCATCAAGAGCTCACTCGCTGGAGAAAGGAGTGGGCACCTGGGCCACGGACACGCCGTGTCCAGAGAGGAAGCGGGTAGGCACGCCAGGCCCACTGCTGTCACCCCAAGCCTGGTTAGACTGGGGAAGTGTGAGAAGCCACGGGACGCCACAGGATGCCACGGGATGCCACGGGACACCGAGCGCTGCATGCCGGGAGAGCATGCAGGGGTCGGTGAGAACTTGGAAGCGTGAGCTGACGTACAAGGTTGGACAGCTCGGCTGAAGATGAGCGGGCTGGAAAGATTCTGTGTGGCTTGTCCTGTCCGTGTCCCAGCAGAGGAAGCGACATGGGAGTGTCACAGCCCGGAGATCGCCCCGAACGGCGTGCCCCACTCTTGGCTCAGCTCAACTGCGATGCTAACTAAACGCGGGGAAGGAAAGGTTCCTGTGCCTTGGAGGGGGCGTAGGAGGGACAGACGAGGGGAGACTCTAGGTGGATCGGGGACCGCACGTGCGTTGTTTACAACTAAGTGTAGTTTACATTGTTGTTTTATGTTGCTGTTTGTGGTTTGTACATTCGGAACTCCTCTCTTCCGCTAGACTCTGTGCTTCTTGAGGACAGGGACTGTGGGGACACCTCAAGGTGGGCTGTGCTGCCACCAAGCACCGGATGGCCAGGGTCACTTCTTGCTTTGGATGAACTGCAAACGAGGACATGCTTTCTGACCGGCTAAGCCCTTCCCCAACACCTCCTGGCCTGCCGGCAGTGGGGACGGTCACTTACACTGCTCTCTCGGAGTCCCCAGGTGCTGGTAGTGGCCACAGGCAGCTTTGAAGTCCCTGGAACTCCCCAGAGGGAGATACACAAGCTGGGGCCCTCCGCCCCAGGGGTAGTGACGACCTGAACTGCACTGGCTGGGCAGGTCCCAGGTGCATGCGTGGGAGGTGTCTGGGGGCCCAGCATGGGTCTGAGCCGAGACATGAGCCACCAGCAGCCCCCAGGCTCTGAGCTCAGCCTATGGGGCACCCGCAGGGGATGCCCAGGGCCCGGTGCCTGAGTGCGCCCCAACCACGGCCAGCCCGCATGATCCAAGCACTCGGCCTTAATTTGGACATTGACATCAGCAACAGAGAAGGCTCAGTTGTGGGGCATAAGGAGAAAAGAAAAGCACTATTCTGATTGATTTAAAAAAATTAAAGGAGTTCCCCTCTCCGTTTCCCTTCTGAGGTGGATGAAAAGAAACCCATCCCCCTCCAAAAACAAACAAAACCCCCAAGCATTCATGGTGTAGACTTTATTGCTCTCGAGGTCTTGGCACTAAGTGCGCAAGCTCATCTGTTAGATGGGAAGGGAATCGCTGAGATTTCACACCCACGGGCCCTGGTCTCCATGCCGGCGGGACTCTGCGCGGCTCGCTCAGCGACTCCGGCGGGCTCACCGGGCGCGCAGCAACCCCGAGGGCAGAGAACTCATCGAGAGCTAGGGGTTAACGGGTGGGAGATCTGAATCTGCGTCTTGCAGGTGACGCGTCTGGGCTCCGGGACATCCGGGAGTTAGTGACACACACAGACGGGCACACTGTGGAAGGGAAAGCAGCCTAAGGCAGTCCCTCCCTGCAGTGTGGGGTCTGAGCTGGGAAGGAGGGGAGCTGTGCTTGAACACAGGGGGGGCTGTCCTGCCTCTGCCTCGTGGGGGCGGAGCCCCACCACGCCCTTCACCACAGTGACCACCCAGAATCCAGCAGTGCCCCCCTAGAGCGCGTGTGCTGTCTCCAGAAACCCTCCCAAAACACAGACTTTGGCCCAATGCATAGGTACTCGCCCAATTTCGTTTCTATCGTTCCCACGCCTCTTTCCTCCACCTCCTCTCCTAGAAAATTCCACCCGCCTCTCTTGGGAATGCTGGTTCCAGGCCACCAGAGCCAACACCGCTAGTGTTCCTTCCCTTGCTAAACAGGGCAAGGGGAGTGTGACTTGGAAACAGCACGCCTGAGGCTTAGGAAGGAAGTCCCACGCGGGCAGGGCGGGCAGCCCTGGGATGCTTGAGCTGAGCCCGGGGAGCCGGCTGCGGGGGGCCCCCCACGCTCCTTCTTCCACCAGCCCAGCGGCCCTCGCCCCACGCCTCCGTCTGTGGAACACGCAGCTCCCCTGGGGCAGCAGACCCACGACAGGTACGGGGAGACACCCCACGGAGGGGGTGGGGCAGCTGAGGGTGAGCAGTACCCCCAGGCCCCCGGGGTGACGCCGGCCACACGGGAGCAGGCCACCCCTGGGACCGGGGCCTGCTTGGGAAAGGGAGGCAGGCAGAGTGCAGGCGAGGCTCCCCACGGCTACTTCTCATCAGGGAGCCGAGAGCCGCCACCGATGGGCCTGGGCCGACTAAAAACAAAACCTCCAGAAGCTGAGGAGCTCCCGGTGAGCAGTCCGCAGCCAGAAGAGGTTTGCTGGTGGCCACCCTGTACACCAGCATCCAAGGGCCCTGTGGGTGCCGGGGTGCAGCCCCGTGGAGGCCACATGGGGAAAGAGGGACGGGGCTCCAGCAACCAGGGGAAGGGGCCCCTTAACTATAAAAACAGACGCAAGGTACCTGCGCACGGGGTTAGGGAGGAGACGGGAAAGCAGGGGTCTGACCGTGAAATGGGGCTACCCGTCCATCCGACACTCGGTGTGCTCAGCCCCCGGAGCGCTCTGCGCGCCCAGCTCACGGGCGAGCGTGGACCAGCCGCGCTGGGCGCTCTGGGGGCCTGGGACCTGCATGTCCCCCTTCCTGAGAGGACAGGGAAAGTTCTTCGAGGGGACGGGAGGCGGCGAAGGGCCAGGGTGAGTTCCCGAAATAACCGATTGAAACAAAAATGGGATCTAAGTTTAAGCAGAGAAAGCGTCCAAAGGCCCCCTCTGGCAGCAGAATTCTCTGGAGATGACATCGGGGTGGGACCCGTGACCCGGGCGTGGCCACCCTCCGCCCCCGCACACACACGGCCCCTGCGCCCGGCTCCGTGGTGGACTCGGCCCCCACGCAGGGGTGCGGCCAGAGTCTTCCTCTGCAGGGGCCTCTGTCGGCTTCGCTCTTGGCTCAAGGTTTCCTGGTCAATATTAGTCACCAGTTATTAAGAAAAATCATTTCTAAGGGTCTTTTGTTCCGATGTGTGTGTTGTTCTGTGTCTAATCGAGTTAATGGACACCACCGTCAGGTTACGTGTGCGCCATCACCGCCGGCAATTACTCCTTTTTCTTAAATTCCTGGTTTCCGTAGCTAGAGCCTTTTTCAATTTCAGTTACTCCTATCAGCCGGCGGACTCCAAAGGACGCTTTAAGACAGGAGAAAGGCAAGGTTAGACCGGCCGCTTGGCCGTCCAGTCAGAAAACCTGACGGTGGGGTAGGGCGGTCCTGACCTTTTGCCTCTGACCTTCCATGGGGTGGGCAAGCCAGCCCTCTCCCTGCTCCCTCCCCACTCCCACGCAGGGCCAGCCTGGTCTGGGGGGCACAGGGGGTGGGCCTGATGGGAGAGAGCCTGAGTGCCCGACCATCGACCATCGACTAAGGCTCCGGGGGCATCCTGAGGGCCCAGAACTGTGCACAGGACTGTCAAGTAATGGCCTTGTCCTCGGAGACCCCCAGACCATCTTGTAGACCCAGGAGCCGGCCCCCAGCAGCAGCACACGATGCAACAAGAGCCGGTAGGCAGATGGCCCTGGGACGCATGACCCTGCGACATAGCAGACAGAGGCCAGAAAGACTCTGGGGGGACCCCGCTCCCAATGGGCCGGCCACCTCGACGGCTCCCAGGCTCCAGCACAGAAGACCCCCAGCCGGAGCCGCGTCATTCACATTCGTTACCTGCCCCGACAAACCCCAGGAACGTCAGGATCAGGAGGGGCGAGCCACTTGCAAAGACGCCCAAGACACAACTGAAGAGAGGAGACAGGAGGACGGTGGCCCAGGACAGGAAGTTCAGGAGCGTCCAGGGCCGGCGCGGGGGCTTGAACTGCTGTCCTGGGAACGTGCCCTTCTGGTTGTACATCTCTTGCAAGGCGTCCTGGAAGAGTCGGGAGAACGAGCTGCCACTGGCTCAGCCCCACGTCTACACCTGGGAGTGGCGGAAGGATCCTGCTCACAGGTGCTGGGGAGGGTCCGGGAGGTGAGATCAGCTCGCCCCCTGCCTTGAGGATGGACCCGCCACAGTGCCCATGTGGGCTGTGGCTTCTTCCAGGCAGCAGCTCCGTACCCTTCAGAGCTGGGACCCAGGCCGGGAAGCGTAGCTGGTACACACACATGCGTCCACCCGGGGCACACGGGGCTCGCGCACGCTCGGTCTGGCTCGCTGAGAGGACACGCTGGGCCCAGCCTGCCGAGAGGCTCTCCCGGTTCTCAGAGCTCATGTCCTCTCCTTCTCCCGACTCCCCACCTGACCCACCTCCCCCCTCCCCTTGCAGGGTTCTGCTGGGACAGACAGGATCTCAGCCCCCAGCCTCATCTAGCCGGTGCCCCTCCCTGAAGCCTGCCAGGCACTCTGTCACCATGGCCCAGACTCACATGGCCAGGGAGGAAGAGCCCTGGAGTGAGGACTCCATCCCGCTTCCCTCCCTGCCCCACTGCCCGCCACTCCCTGATTGTGCAGCGGGACAGAGGGCAAGAGGCCGGGAGGCCCGGGACCCCCCCACTGCCCGGCCCACACCCCCCACGGGTCCACTCCCACATCTGCGGAACAGGGGAACCAGAAGGCACGATCTCTGTGGTCCAGTTCCAGGTTATGCCTGGCGCTAACGGGAGCTGTCGATGCGTCTCAGAAGCTGTCGCATCCGCTCAAAGCACTGAGTCTGGTCACAGCTGGGTCTGCACCTTGCCTGAGCCTGAGCACGAGCCCCGAGTTGGGGGTAGACTTTAGATTAAAATATTAAGTTAAAAAACGTCTGGGGGGCTCAGTCGGTTAAGTGTCCAACTCCTGGTTTCAGCTCAGGTCATGGTCTCAGGGTGCTGGGATCGAGCCCCGCGTCGCGCTCCTTGCTGAGTGTGGAGCCTGCTTAATATTCTCTCTCGCCCGCTGCCCCTCCCTCCCTCCCTCCCTCTAAAATAAATAAATAAATAAAATTTTAAAAAAGACCTTCTTAAAAAAACCTGAAAGGAGTGAATTAAACCTATTTATGTCCGTGTTGACAGATATAAACACGATAGTGACTGACAAAAGAAAAAATAGAGCACCTTAACGTCCTTAACGTAAATTAGACCATAAGTGACACAAAAAACGACTAAAACTGTTACCGTGTATTTCAATAGTATAGAAAAACATGGCAAATAATAGAAAAACACGCCCCAGAAGTCATCTATGTCAAAGCTTGTCCCTTGCTACATCTGTGTTAGACGATTCTAGAAGGTGAACCTTAGGGACAGAGATGAGCCTCCTACTCCGGCACCTCCAGAGGCTGCTGGGTCCCGGCTGGGCCCTCTGTCCTCCCTCCCCCGACACGTTGCAGGTGCACCCAACAGGCGTGTGCGTGGGAACACAGTCCCCACGTGGCCCGCACGCGCACCACTGCCCGCCGTGTCGGCACACTGCGTCCGCACGATCTGGTTCTGCGGACGAAATGCGGTTGTTATTAGGAAACACTGTCCTGTTTCCTAATAAGCGGTTACGTTACTTCTCCCTTCTGTTGAACAACACTGTTGCACACAATTGTCTATCGTAAGCGTTTTAAACCCTCATAAGCTGCCTGGCTTTGGAGATGGACAGTCTTCTGCAGCCTCCTGTGTTCAAGATCTGTCTGCCTTTCTCTCTACCTACACGCGAATGCTTAATTTCTTTCCCAATAGGCTTTATTTCTTTTCTGGAGAGACTCATCTTCTTGGAAATCAGACATTTTATCTGAGATTTCAGATGCAGGAACATGGAGTTAGTGATAGTCCTCCCATGTCCCTCGCTCCTTGGCTGGCTTATCTTTTCATTTCTGTGGATGCCGTCCCTCTTCTAATGGGACAGCCTTGCCCACCGTTTTCTACTTTGTTAGTATTTTTATTTTTATGTTCTTAATTTATTTTACTTTTTTTTATTTTGTTAGTATTTTTAAAGGAAAAACATTTGGTACAGTTGATAAACGCTTTAGTAGCTTTGCTTTCTGTTCAAATGATGAATGCTATGTTTATTATCTTCTTTGTTCTATTCTCTCTGGGTTTACTCTCTTTTTTTTTTTTTTAAAGATTTTATTTATTTATTTGACAGACAGAGATCACAGGTAGGCAGAGAGACAGGCAGAGAGAGAGGAAGGGAAGCAGACTCCCTGCTGAGCAGAGAGCCCGACACGGGGCTCGATCCCAGGACCCCGGGATCACGACCTGAGCCGAAGGCAGAGGCTTTAACCCACTGAGCCACCCAGGCACCCCGGTTTACTCTATTTTTAATATGTGTATGCAATGCATACGTGCATGTCAGTGTGTGTGTGTGTGTGTGTGTGACTATTAGGATAAAACGTGTGTAAGGCGTTTACAAGAGGTCCCAGCACATAGTAAGGTGTGTCTAATGTCAACTTCACGGTCATTCCGTCGTGGGAATGACTTCTCTTCTCTCTGGTTATTCTAAGATCTCACGGTCTTTTGTGTTCTGCAATTTCACTGATAAGTAGGGGGATGGATTTCTCTTTATTTCCCCCGTTCCAGACCCGTGTTTCTGGAGCCCGATGGATTCCAGGAGCTCGAAGTTGTCATCTCTGACACCTGCACTCCACCACTCTTGTCCCTTTCTGAACCTGTCAGTAGTCACAGAGCAGACCTCTCGGTCTATGCTCAGCATCTGCTAAACTTCCTTTCCTGTTTGTGCTTCTGCTGTGCTACCTTCTGAGTAATCTCTCAGTCTTCCAGGTCACTCTCTCTTCCGCTGTATCCAATCTGTCATTTAACCTACTAACACTTCACCGTCAGTGACTTGGTTTTTGCTGCCTGTAAATTCTACTTGGTTCTTCTCAAATCTTTTTCTCCGTGGGCGTTACTCTTTTCAGGTCCTTCTTCATCCTCAGTCACTTCAAACGTACTGATTTTAGTCTCCGCGGATCCACTGACTCACGCTTTTGGGGACTTTACGTCCTCCGTTCTGTGTCTGCGGCGCTGCACACGCGCTCTGGCTCTGTGCTCATCTCCCATGGGATTTCACCCGCGGAAACCTGTGTTTACCTGCGTTTCTCCAGCCCTTTGTGTGCTTTTCTCGGGAACTCTGGAGTGGTTTGTCTAGAACCACTTGTTGACATTTTGGCTCTTCTCTCCCTGAACTATGTCGCTGGGATAAATTCAAACCCCAAACCCCTCTGAGCACCGACCTGTGATTACGAGTTATCGGGGAGACCTTGTTGAGACCAAGAGGAGAAAGGGGTGCGTCAAAGTCTTTTTCCTGTGCGGGCAGGTAGGTTTCTTTTAATTCACTGTGCGAGGGCAACACTCTCGAAAGTTCCTGCCTGGAACGAGGTCAACCTTTATCTTCTGTTTCCGGGTGGGCATTCAAACTCAAGACTCCAGGGTAAGGGTAAGGGGACCAGCAAACGCCATTGGAGGGGTGGGACATTCCCAAGTTCACAGGCTCACCACCTGGTTTTCAGCTCTACATTCTTTTTGGACTCTTAGAGATGTCCCTTATTTTCTTAAAAGCTCACCCGTGCCTTTAAAAGGGTATCTGTTGTATGTAGAAAGGACCTTGTCATTCTCTAAGCGCAACCAACGCTGAAGATGAAGATACTGTGTCATGTGTGTTCGTGTGTATAAAACAAGCTGGTGCAAGTTTCAGGGCAGGGCGAGCTGCGGGGGGGCGGAGAAGGGTCGTGCTTGGCACACGGATCTCTTCACGTTACCTACACTGCGTCTCCTGCATAAATCACACACACACCATGTCAGGCTGTAGATCTATCCACTATTACGAGAAAACACGAAACCATCTGATAAAGTGTTGCCAGCCACAGTTGTACGTCATCCTTTCTACTTTTCTCTAGTGTGCTGAGTTCTCACAAGTCAAGAAACATGCAAGATGCTGGAAAGAAGGTGGAAAGTGGTTGAGAGCCGCATGGTTCTCCCTCTCCAGATGTCTGCGTGCACGCCCCGCCTGCCCCGGGAGCCGCCCCTCCGAAACCTCTTCCTGAGACCCCCGGGAGAAGAGGAGAGCCGCATGCCTTTACCTTCTCCTGGTACAGTTTATGAAGCCACTGGGCCGCTTCCTTCTCATCCAGTGGGATCTCTTCCAGAGGAAACCGCCTGTTTGGGGAAGAAGATTGAAAGCCAAGTGGCCTACCCGTGGAGGGCATCAAACAGGAGAGGGGGGTCGTCGCTGGATGGGGGGGTGGTATGCTGGCCCCGCCTTTCCTGGTCGTGCCTCACTCTCAAGTTCCAAGGTCACACAGACAGCAAAGACATCCACCCTGGGCACAGAGGAACCAGGCCCTGCAGGACCATGGGGGCCACGGAGGGAGGGGTGTTCGTGAGCACTGTAAGGGAACAGATCACACCCCCATTTCCACTGAGAAGGGTGCACATTTGTAAGCTGTGGCAGGAGTTTTGGTCTTTCTTAATAGTTCATTCTTAGGAAATAATCAAATCTGACAGTGTCTTCCATCAGGCCAAGAGGATTGTGTATTTCACCAATGAGATCTACTTGCTCTGAATATGAAAAGCAAGAGAGATTCAGAACTTTAATCTGAACTCACAAACAGCTGACTCCGGAGAAGACACAATTTATTTATAACCCTAATCACCAGGGGATTACCGGCCCAGGAGCGCAGGTGTCTTCCTGGGGGACAAGCAGGGCAAGGGCAGGAAGGGCTGTCCACGGCAGCCGCAGTCCCTGAGGCCGCCAGCAGGGGGCGCGGGGGACATGTGTGAGGGGGAATGACCTTGGCGGTGTTCTTCCCCCAGGGCGGCCCACCCCTGGGAGCAAGGCTGGTGCCGCTCTCACGCAGCCTCTGGAGAGTGCTGGACGTCCACGGGGAGTGAGGGAAAGGCGGAACCCTCGTACACAAAAGTGCTCTAACTCCGCAGACCCACGGGCGAGGAGACCAAGTCTGGAAGGGTGGTCTGCTGAGGGACGCTGCCCACAGGCTTCCCACCCACCTGACCACACTCCTCTGGTTCTGGTCTATGTCCCGTCCTGGCCACACCCAGGCTCTAGTGTCAGTCAGCTACGCGCAGTACGAAGGGTATAAATTAAGAATTTAAAAGCATGATGCAAAACTAAACTATGAGCGTCTGTCTCCCGGAGCGGACTCAAGTCCCTTGAAGGATGCTGACCCCACCCGAACTCGGGAAGCCTCAGGCCACCACCCCCGGATGCCCCTGGCCTTGCCCCCAGCTCAACTTCACCAGCAGGGGAATAGGAAAAGGACTCCAAAGAGGAAACTTCCATGAGCCCAAGAAAACTTTGGCTTGTTTGATGAAAAGCATGTTCTGGACTCTCCGGAATATTGCTTTCCTCAAAATTTCCCAAATGGTAAGTATCACAAAATGGCACATTGACACTTTTAGACATTCTAAGAACATGTCTGTTAAAATAAGTTTAGGTAAAGTATAGTTTCGGGCTTTCCGCAACAAAGGGGGAAATGAACAGTAAGGCTCAGGTCTTCTCCTGCCGGAGGTGACGGTCCCTTGGAGGGGCAGTGCCACCATTGGGGTGGCCGTGAACACAGGCCTGGAGCCGGATCAGGAGGGTTCCCCCAACCCTGCTACCTGCCGGCTAGGACCTGGGCCCCCCATCCCCCGAACACCCCGGGACCAGGGAGGGTGAGCACCGGCACAGAGCCCACCACAGCTGTCACTGTCCTGGACCACAGCACACACTCTCGTCCGAACCACAGCCAGGGCTGGAGGCCGCCAGGACCAGCAGGTCCCAGGGAAGCTGCCCGGTCCCTGCTGGCTCCAGAGAGCTAAGGGCAAGGACCCCGGCTCTGTCCCTCCTCTAAGCCAATCCACTGCAAGCTGCAGGAGGAAAAAGCCCCCTGGCTCATTCTTAACATTCACAAAATCACTCCTGCATTGGGGGGCGAAACTGCTTTAGATGGGGTCACGTGAGGAGGGCCTCTGAGAGCTCTGGGGGCCAGGCTGAGTGGGGCAGAGACCCAGTCAGAGCTGGTGGGTGACAGACAGGGGAGCTGACCCCACACGTGGCTTAGGCACACACCGGCCAGTCCTGCCTTCCTGCACACAGTGAAGGAACCTGGAGGGGTGGGGCTGGCAAGTTCAACTGAGCCGATCCGGACCAGAGGAGGACCTGGAGGGGCTGCCCACCATTATGCTTTGAGCTGAGGTCAAAGTCAAAACCCCCTACTATTAAGAACCCCAGGCGCAGGGCTGGGACAGCTCCCCCAGCTCCCACTTCTGCCTGTGGGAATCTGAGTTGTGGTCCAAGCTGGAGCCAAGCCCCTTTTAAGGGGCCTCTGTGCTCCCTGCGGCAAGAGAGGCTGCCCCTCCCTCGGGGCTTCCAGAACATTCTGCCTTCACCCCGCACCCACCCCTTCACCTTGTAGGAGAGCTAGTGCTTGTCGTGTCTGTCCCCGCGTGTGCAGTCCTGGGGTGCAGGCTGTCTCCAGGCTGCATGGCAAGGGGCCGGTGCCAGGGGCTGCGGACGTGGGGAGGGTCGGCTCACCTCACACACATGTCGGCCTCGTACTTCTTCCCGTAGAGGATTCCCAGCAAAGACGGGTTCTTATTTCCTCGGAAGTTCAGCGTGACGTCATAGACCGCTGCAACTGCAGGGATGGGGGGCGTGAGACCGGGGCCTGCGCCCGCACCCATGCCCACACCTGCACCCCGCTCAGCCCCGCAGCCCGCTGGGCCCCGCAGGCTCCTGTCTGCAAACATGGGGGCGCTCAGTACTGCATTTACTGACATCTGTGTTCAGCTTTAGGGTCTGGCTGCTTTCTGTTTGTTTGCCGTGTTTTGTGTCCTATCTCTGACCTTGCCCCCTCTGACATTCATTAGATGGACGTATTATTTCCCTTTATAATAAGGTTTTCACTTACTTAACTTTTTCACCCCATTAATCTGTCACCTGTTCCATCAACCAGCCTTCTGTTGCCTCAGAGACGCCAGGGCCAGCCGACACATGGTCACTGTGCTCACCGGCTCCCCGTCCCAGCCCCTGCTGCCCTCACTCTACACGGCCCGGCCGTCTCTTGCGTAGCTTTGGACCCATGACTTCCTGGTCTCGCTGCCCGCAGAGCCCAGAGCACGCACGGCCATCCCCGGCTCGCCCTCACCTGTCCCTCGCAGGCACTGGACCGCCGTGGTGAAGCCCTTGGTACGAGGCAGCAGGTGGTACTTGAGGACGGGGAGCCCCTTGGACAGGGCCACCTCCATGCTGACGCGGTGCTTCTTCTCCGTGAAGCGTGTGCCCTCACAGTACAGGAGAAACTGCCACACGAGAGGGGACAGGGTCACCGCAGGCCACGGGCTCACAGAGCGCGTGCTGCTCAATTCGCAGCGAGGACGGAACACTCCAGTGACTGGTGGGGCATCATGTACAACGAGACTTTATTTCGGGTGCGACCCACGCTCCAGCCACGCACCGCCCCTCGGGGAACAGCTGAGCTGTGACACTGATTCTCGAGGACCGAGAAAGACCACTCTCCGGAAGGAACGCAAACAGGAAGGCGCCCCGGGAGAGGAAAATCGGAAGTCTCTCATCCCTCTGCCTCCCCGTGGGGATTAGAAATGCCACTAAGTAGCCAGTTCTCAAAGACCTCCTGCCAGAGACCAGAAAGCTCAGAAAGAGAAACAATGTTCAAACCAACCTACTGCCATTGTTTCCGATGGGGGGGTGCGTCAGACTCCTGGAAGGGCCTGGAAACACAGGCGGAAGCCCCCGCCCCAGGGGCCTGAGGGGTGCTTGTTCTGAAGGGCAGGCTAAGTCTTCTTTGAAGTACAAGTTGATCCCCAGAACCAGAGGGTCCCTGGAGTCTGCTCTGCAGCCTGGCTCCCGAGAAGCCCCCCCCCACCCAGCCAGGAGCCGGGCAGGTGTCCCGGGGCAGCGGATGCAGGAAGGGGGGCTCGCTCCCTCTCCAGGTGCCTTCAGTGGGGCTCTGGGTCTGCACTGGGGCAGAGAGAAGCGGGTGAGCCGGGAGGGGCCCCCCAGCCTGCAAGCTCCGAGGGGGAGGGCCCGGCCCCACTGTGGCCTTGCTCCCGGGGTCGGGTTCTCATGGGCTGCGGCGCGTGCGCATCACGGAGGCTTGCGGGGTCGGGAGGCCAGAGCACTCACCCACATGTACTCCGGGTAGTCGGACAAGCGCATCAGCCCCTCGATGACGGTGTCCCGGTCCTCCTCCCATTTCCGCTTGCAGAACACGATCTCCAGGAAGTACCACGTCCAGCCGATGAGGGGCACGTAAAGCAGCTCCCTCTTTGCGAGGACTTTGGAACTCTGGAGGGAGGAGGCAGGTGGGAGTCAAGACCCTCGCAGGCACCCCTGGGACTGGCTTGGTGTTTGGTGACTTCGTCGTCAATGAGGCGGCCCTGCTCTGAACGTGCCTGCTGATTTCCGCATGACCCCAAGGGGCAGGCATGCCATCTGACAGACAAGGAAACTGAGGCACAGGCCTGGCGGAGGGAGGGGTTGCCCGCTCTGGCCGTGAGGACCGGGGCTCCCCGAGGGTGACCTGGGATGGCCCAGTACGGCTGCTTTGTCTGCAGTGCCTGCTTGGCCAGCCTCAGGCAGCCCTGCCATTTCCCTGCGACCGCTCGTCTGGCCAAGGGAGCTCTGGGCTCTCGATACGCAAGGTTCGCTGGAGGCAGAGCAATAAGCCTGAGCTCAGGACAAGCTCTGGAGAGCTGAGGGCTGACCTGACCTCAGACTCTGGGCTCAGAGGACTCAAGGGCTACACCGGAAGGGAAGAAAACCCCAGACCCCATGTTACTCACCCCCAAAATCCCCCGGGACTCCACACTGTTCACCCCTCGCACCTCCCCAGGGCCCCCATGTGCCTCACCCCGAGCACCCCCCAGGACCCTGCATTGCTCATCCACAGAAACCCCCGGAACCCCCGTGTGGCCCACCCCCAGCACCTTCCCAGGACCCCACACTGCTCACCCCCAGCACCTTCCCGGGGCCCCGCGCTGCTCACCCCCAGCACCTTCCCGGGGCCCCGCGCTGCTCACCCCCAACACCTTCCCGGGGCCCCACACTGCTCACCCCCAGCACGCCAAAGCGCTCACACATGGTCCACCCGCAGAGGAAGTCAATTTCGAAGTTGTGGTTGAGGATGATGACCACGTGCTCCTTGCCGAAACGGTCGACCGTGGCCTGGTCCGTGAACAGCGTGCATTCCGTACAGGACCACCACTCCAGCAGCATAACCAGCTCTGCAGACACAGGGGAGTGGGGTCAGCAGGTGCGGGGGGGCTGGGCTCGGCTCCAGGCCCCCCGCTGTAGGAGGCGCCAGCCAAGCCCGTGCTCAGGGGACTTTACAGGACGTTCATCAGGGTGGGACTTCCGGCCCAAATGAGTTTTGATGGTTTATATTTCATAAATTTAATTTTCCAAAGTTATAATGATCTTTTCTAAGCCCAAGTCAGGGAGAACACAAATGGAAAGCAGAAGTGGAGGAAAACCATCATCTTAGATGGACGCCTTCCTGTCCTATTATGATTCCCACAGGTGCTGTGATTCGAGTGACAATCACATTTTATCCACAGAATGGGAGGACAAAGGTGGGTGCACATACACAGCCAGCCCCAGGGCCACTGTAGTCGGCAGTGTGGCAGTGCCCACCGTGGCCAGGCATCCCCAGAAAGGTGACCCCACAGACCGGGAAGCATGACCTTCAGGCTCAGGATCACTGCAGGGAAGCCCTGTTGTTTTTGTGCTGGACACCAGTCTACCCATCTTCTGATGGGACCGGCCCTCAGGGATGGAGGCCAGGACCTGAAGAGTGGGTTCCACGCCTGACTACCTGGGCCTCAGTTTCCCCATTTACAGAAAGGAGGAAATAGTGCTTCCTTACAGGGCCTCTGGACTGCACGGGCCACAGCTTGTGACGTTAACATCCAAGAACCGGAGGACTGGGGCGGGTCTCTCTTTCCCGGTGGGCACCCCCACCAGCCCGGGCTGAGGACCAGCCCGGGCCCAGGTGAGGGCTGCCTGGGCTCTGTTCCCGACATGCTGCTGATCAAGGCTCCCACCTTTCTTGTCTGTGAGATGGGAGAGGGACGGAAGGTCTGTCCCAGACAGAAGGTCTGCCTCTCGATGATACCTTGACACTCACCAGTCCCTTCCACCCAGGGGAAGGCAGGGTCAGCAGAAAAGACCACCTGTCTGAGGCAAACTTGGCACCAATGACTCTGCTTAGCCTTGGATGATTTTATCCCACGTTCTTGAGCCTGAAGAAAGGCTCAGGCGTGGGAGACAAACGCCCCTAACGGACACTTGTCCCACAAGCCCCGAGAAGATGCTCGGTACCATCAGTCATCAGGATGGGACCAAACCACAGCGGGACACCCCTCCCTGCCCCTCGGGAGGGCAGTCCCTGGCCACGGATGGGGGAGATGGCACACCGCCCGGCACCACTGGGAATGCACGGTGGGATGGCTGCTGGGCACTTTCTCGGTACTGGGGGTCCACATGGTGCTTCTGGACAACCCAGCGATTCTACCCCAGATCCCTGTGGGAATCCATGTGGCCCGGAGCCATGCGGCAGCCAAACAGAAGAAACCACCCAAGTGTCCACAGAGTGATGCATGGCTGGGTGACCACTGTCTGGCCACACCGCACTATGTGACCCAGCCACGACCTGGGCCGGCCCAGAAAACAGCGTGCTCAGGGAGAGGCCGTCCTGAAGGACTGACCTCTAGGGACCGTATACTGTGAAGGGGTGAATTTACTCTCAGGAAAGCTGTTGAAAAGAAGAGGAAGGAAAGCAGAGGCCACAAGGCCGCTTGTGCGTGTAGAAGTGCCCCCTGCTGACAGGGCCCCCGGCCACCTGTCCCAGCGAGACACGGAGACACGGAGACATGGCCAGCAAGGAGCCCCGCTCCCGCTCTCCCCGCCCCCACTCTGGCTCTGGTTTAATTCGATGGCAGCAGCCGGGGCAGGGCCTGGGCAAAGTCACAGGGTCACAGGGGACCATGGGGGAGGCTGTTGCTCTGAAAGCGATTTGTGGGGAACGGGCCAAGGTTTTTTCCATTATTCTAGTACGAACACTTGTGACGCACCCTCTTAACACGCCCTCAGTGCACAATCCTGTGCCGTTTCCGCTGGGCACAGGGCTGGACGGCATCACAAACCCTGTGGCTCTCCAGGTGTGGCCCATTTCAGGTCTCTTGGATGCGGAACAGGGCAGGACATGTCCTGGGACCGGCTCACCCACACAACATCCTGAGGTCTCGCCTGCATGGTCCCACGAGGCAGGAGTCCCCGTGTAAAGGCGGGATATTGCCCGCTGCAGGCTCAGACCACGCTGTCTCTACGTGTTCATCCACTGCCGGACAGGTGTCCCCACCACGGGCTCTTGGGAATGATGCTGCCACGGACAAGGGGAAACTCTGCTTCCTTATCCCTTGTCTGAGAGGCCCCAGTAGGGCCTTGGCCTCCTGACTCAGGGCCACCAGGGGCAGGGGTACAGGCTGCTCGGCGGCCCCTCGCCCGCTGTGCAGCCCCACCTGGAAGAGGGACGTCTTGGCTCCCACCCCGCAGGAGCTCCGGGGCCCGTTGGCCTCGCGGGCAATGCTGAGTGAACACGGGCTCTCCCAGCTGTCCTGGTGTCTCACCGAGGTGCCCAGAGACCACAGATGGAGGGAGGGAGAGACAGACAGACACCCTAGATCCCCTACAGACATTTTCACGAGGATGAGCCTGAGGGTCACCTGTGGGGAAGCTTGGTCTCCACTCGCAGAGGGGAGGATGGGCCAGGGGTGGCCCTGCCCATCTCACCAGAAGACCAGCAGCCTCCCTGTCCGTGGAGTGCGGTGACATGCAGCCGCCGACCTGTCTTCCATGCCTAGGGTCCTGGCCCAGCGGGGGGACATTCTGAACAAGGGGTTTGGCTGGCTCCTGGGCCCAGCACTCATTTTCCCGTGGGGCTTCCTTCTTTCCGAATGAGCCAGTGCTCTCTCGCAGCCTCTCACCCGCTGCCCGCCACCACTCTCAAACGCCCCACATTGACTCGGTCTGGACAGTGCGGCTGCGAGGGAGGCGATGCTCTTTTCCAGCCCGGAAGGTTCGGCGTGGCCGGGTCAGTGGGAGCCCGGGGCCAGACGGGGGTCACACTGGGGATGCACTCAGGGCGCCAGCGGGGGCAAGGGGGGGGACGCGCCAGACCTCACACCGTGGGAGCAGGAGCACGTGTCCCACTAGACATGGGACGCTGGCTCAGGGTCACTGAAACGCTGCTGTGATTGTCGCCTCTCGGCCATCTGGGGAGCCTTCCCCTCCGTCCTGGCCAGAGGGGATGCCTGTGCAGCACCCCCACTCCAGCGGGCCCCTGGGGGCTCCCCCAGCCTTGCGCTCAGCAAGGCCGGTGCTGCTTGGGCTCGGGGCCACTCCCCGCACGAGGGCCGTGCTCCGGGCTGCTCGCCGACCGCAAGTGCCTTTCCGTGCTTTCACCCAGTTCGTTGTCTTTTTTACAAAAATGGATTTGTCTTTGCTTTTTTAACCCATCTTCCTCCAAGAGTTCTCCCGTCGGGCTGGTGCGTGTTTCCTACCCAGCTGTAGTCAGTGACATCTAACGGCGCGACAGTCGCTCTCCTGGCCACACCGGAAGGAGAATAGGGACCAGTGGGGCTGGAACTCTCGCTCGCCCCCCCTCCCCCGCCCCCACCCCACGCACCAGGCCTCCCCCGCTTCCGCCTCACAGGCCGGCTCGGCTGTCACTTCACAGGCTCGTGTGGACGTAGCTGCTCCCGCTTCCCCGACGACCGTCCTCCCGGCACCTCAGACCCTGCCTTGATGACGCAGCTTCTGCTCTTCCTGAAGAACATTCTCGGGGCGGGAATGTCGGGTGTGCGTCTGTGGGCCGTGAGCGCCACCACTCTGGGCCGGTGTCGGACTGCTCCTATGTCACCCTCGCTTGAAGGACCGCCGTCGGTCCATCTGTCCGTCCCACCGGCACTCGGGCTTTCCTGTCTGGGCACTTCTCACCTGCTCTTTGTCTCCGCAGTTTGTGGCCTCGTGGGGCGGGTCTGAGCGTGCGTATCGCTTGCTTTCCCTGCTGGGGACCCGCTGTCCTCTGGGAGTCACGGCATCACCACCTCGTCCCCCAGGGGGACCCTCTCCTGGTGCCACCTACCATATCCCCTCCGCAGACCTGGCCGCTCCCCCTTCCTCCTTTCAGCCCCACGTCACCCTCCCCTCCTGGGTCTTGGCCGCACACTCGCATCCGCTGTGCCCGGTCTCCTGCCACGCCACGTTCATCCACGTTCAGCAACTACAATTCTCCCTTACGGAAGTGTCACTTGATTCTTCTTGTTGCCGTCCAGCAGTCTTTCGTCTATGTCTCCTGCATGTTCCTGTCCCCCATAGCCAAGGGGACAGGAAGACATTGCTCTGTCTTCATCCGTGAGAGTCTCTGAGCCGAACATGGGAGGCATCTCCCCCAGATCTGCAGACCTCAGGGGGTGCTGCTAACCTGCTCCCCCCCAGCCACGGCTCCGGGTCTGGGTTTCCATCTGGTCCCCCACCCCGCAGCTGGTCCAGCCGGGCCCTGGAAGTCAAGCTCAAGGTTCTGTGCCAGTGCCCGGCTCTCTGCTGGGGGATGGGGCAGGGCTGGGAGGCCCCCGTTATGAGCTGAGCCCCCAGCCAGGCGCTAACAAGCCGGCCTCACCCAGGACTGAGCCGGCTGGAGTTTTCCCCTTACGACCCTGCTGCACGCGGAGGCCACAGTTTAGTTTTTGTTCATGAGTGTTGGCCCTTTTGGTGAGGTTTCATTTGACTCCGCTGTACTCATGAGCAGCTCATCGGATGTTCCACGCGACAGGAGTTTCAATTCTCCCTCCCCCACCCCTACAAAATCCTCTTTTATCTAAAACAGAAACCAGACCCTGGGAACTGAAGCTACTGAGTGAGCGTGTGAGACAAGCTGAAGCCCCGGGCCAGCTCGCCGCTCTGGGCCGAGGCCACGGGGAGTCATGGTGTCCAGCCTCCACGGCCATCCTCCCGTCTCCACCCCCGAAGCTGGGAGGCTAAGAGAGCCCCGTTTCCCGTAGGCTCTAAAATGGGTGTTGTTTTCTCTTTATGATAAGGGAAACATGGTCTTATGCTAAGAAATGTAAACAGCACAAAGTCAGACATAATCATAAGTAAATGTAAATAATGAAAAGAATAAGAACCAAACAAGGAGTAAATTAGTGAAAGTAAAACATAAAAAAGTGAGAAGTAGAAGTCCCTTGTTCCTCCACTCCCCGGGACTTTCAGTTTCCTGGCGACCCCTGGGGACCCTCCGGGCACAACCGGCCACAGACGGGTGCACGCGTTGTCCGCAGAGAAAACAGGAGTGTGCCGCGCGCTCTGCTGTGCTCCTTGTCTTTCCACTTAGGAACATACTTGTGGGCAGTTCTGTGTCAGTACGGAGAGGCCCTGGCTCGTCCCGGCTGCGGGGCCGCTGTCCCCTCACCGTACTTGGTCTCCGCTAAGGGGCGCCACGGTGGCTGCTGGTTTCGTGCTAACATGGAAGTGACAGGATGAGAACGTCCGTGCAGATAGGCACTTCCACGGTAACCGTCCAGGTACACTCTCGCTCTGTAGAATGACGGTTGACACGGATGGTGGGCTCTGGTGTGGAGAGCGGCTGGCAGGGGCCCTCCTCCTACAATGGCCCTGGAGCCCTGCGGGTGCGCCATAGCGGCAGTCTTCAGCTCTGGTGACAGCGGGCTTTGCCGTCAGCCGCCGGCATCTCTGTCTACCTGGCAGGTGGAGACCGATTTCGTGTGCACACACACACCCGGGGGCGTATTGGCCACAGACACGCACGTCTACACACGTATGCAAAGGTGGGCGAGTCCTTGTCATTCACAGACGGTCATGTGCACACAGAGCGGACAGGCGCCTGCCGCTTCCTCGCCATGCTCTGGCCCCCGGCTGGCCTGAGGGCTGGCAGCCGGCAAACCGACTTTACGTCTGTCCTCAAACTCCCGAAATACCCCAAATATACACCCTCAAACTCCCGAAACATGCCAACCACGTGAAACCGCGTCCTCCGGGTTCCAGGTGGCCAACTGTCAGAACGTCACCTGGCTCAACCCAGAGGACAGCCTGGGGTTAGGCATCTAGCGGCACGTCTGCCGGCCACTCCCGAGCAGCCCCTCTGGTCCCGGGGCGCGGGGAGGGGGCGGGGGGGTCCCCTGCTGGACCCCGCCTGCCGGTCACACCCTCAGGGACACGCCTACCCCCGGGGGCCCCGCTCAGCAGGGAGCTGGTTCCTGGGGCACAAAGGACGTCCTCCCCACCTGCGACCCTCCCCCGCCCTGTGCACGGCGACACTCACGGCTCCACAGCGAGTAGGCGAGGCGGCAGTTCAGCCGGCGGTAGAGCTGCTTGTTGACGGGCCAGAGGACCAGCGTGCACAGCTGGACAAAGTTGATGACCAGCCCGCTGACCACGAACACGAACCCGATGAGCAGGTGCACCGCGAACTGGGTCTTCAGGTAGGCGAGCAGGCCCATGGCCGCTGCTCAGGAGCGGGCGCAGGGTCCTTCACTGAGAACAGCAGTCCTGGGGAGGACAGGGGCAGCGGTCAGCACGGGGCAGGACGGGCACCCGGGCCCTGGTGGCCACACACGGACAGTCCTCCTCGCGGCTCGCGGCACAGCCCGCCCGCGGCTCACCCGCGCCACGCTCTGCGGTCCTCCTGGGAGTGACATGCAGGTCATGCGTGCGGCACTCACGCTCAGACCACACGCACACACACAGCCCTGGGCACACGAGGAAGGAAGAAAAGTCTAGAACTAATGCCCCCCAATATTACTGGTGACCGATCACCTCTAGGAAAAAATATATAGATCGTTTTTATTTTAGCCTTTTTTAGCATCATTTAAAAGACCAAACTGCACATGAACTCCACGGAAACAGACGCACAATCTACTATTCCACTCCCAAACCATGGCAGCCCTGGAAACCAACAGCTTCTGACTGGCTCTAACACAGCACGGTGACTCACCCAGGGCCCTAACTGGTTTTTCTCCCCTTCTCACGGGCGTGTCTTACTTCCAACAGTGATGCCCGAGGCTCAGCTCACATTTCTCAGTTACACTTGTCCCCTGAGCTGCCCGTCACAACACTCGTGGCAGAGAGCCAAGCAGGGAGCTGCGATCCCAACTCAGGGCCGCGCATGGCCGGAGCACATGCAGACCCGGTCCCAGGAGGGGCGCCCACGCTCTCTGCGGAATGGGGCGTGGGGCTGGCTGAGACCGGCTCCCTGGCTCTCTGGGGCGGGGCCTGCTTCACTTCACAAGCTGAGCACCCCTGGGGGCAGCAGGGGCCAGCTGCCCCGGTCCGGGGACCACACCAACTGTGCTGGAAACACAAAGCTGTGACTTCTGAGGCTGAGTTGCAAAACACAGTTTTTGCCCAGACCCCGGTCCTCACGGGGTCAGCTCTGCAGGGAGCCAGCCGCCGTGGCTGGAGGACGGTTGAGCCGCAGGTCCTGGACGTGAAAGCTGGGTGTCCAGGCCTGGTCAGGCCTTTGGGGGCCCACAGCCCCGCAAGCAGCCCCGACCCACCAGCCCGTTGTGGCTTTAGTACCAATCCCGAGACCTGGAGGGTAAGGACGGGCAGTGTTTGTAGCACACCAGCACTGGGACAGTTTGTTACTAACTCATTACCCCACGGTTACTGTAACTGGCCCTCCGGACGTAAAGGACAGAAAACACAGCAAAGATACTTCCTCCTGCGTTGTTGGGTACACCGCAGACACCGCCCTCCAAGCAAACAGAAGCATGACAGGTGACTTGGCGCGGTCCCACTGTGAGTAGCAGGAGGACCAGATTCCACCGCAGGTGGGGACACTGCATCCACACTCCCTTCACGGGCAGGGATGCTTCTAGAAAGCAGAGTCCCGAACATGCCAGGCTTGACGACGTCCTTCTTCCATGTACGAGAGGTAACGGCACTGTCCGACCCAGCATCGCTGCCCATCCCCCGGCACCTCACTGGCACGCGGCACGCTCTCTGCTCCCCACCGCCTGCCACACGGGCCAGAACCACCAGGGTCCCCAGAAGCCAGCGCAAAAATTGCCGTATCAGCCACGATCCTTTTAAAAGCAGATCCCCCAGGTCCTGGCCAGCCACTGATTCCATCCCTGGGGCACGAGGTCCAGGTCCCACAAGGTACAGCTCACCCCCAGCTCAGACGCGCTCACTGGCACGCAGCGTGATGGCACCTGGAAAGCCACAGCCATGGTCAAGGCCATGGTCACGTCAGGGTGCTTCCCATCACCCCTGCCCAGGCAGCGCCCGGCCCCTGGCAAGGCCACCGGGCTCTGGCACCGCAGATCCAGCTTCCTCTCCTCTAGGCTCACATGAGCAGAAATACACAGGACCTGACGTGCAGCTCAGCATGCGTGTCCACCACCGTTCAGCCTGAACGTGGAGGGACATTCCACGGCACACGTTCCGTCTGCCGACCCGCCCGCCGATGGCTTCCAGCCCCGTGCAGGCTTTGCCGACCACACACGTCCGAGCACCGGTCTCTGTGTGAACACAGGCTCTCACCCGGGAATCTATTTCAGCCCCGAGGTGACAGAGTAGCCAGTCCTGGGCGCCTGAGCCTGATCTACGGGTCGGTCGCCAGGATGCCCTGCCGAGCTGCACCCGCCCCAGACACGTGTTGCTCGCACCCTTGCCACCAACACCGCACCCTCCTGTCGGGAATGAGATGCCCACGGTCCAGCTGGTTTCCCCGTCCCAGGCCCCGGGACTCATCTTCCCTGACGACAGCTGACGGACGTGGCCTGGGGCTGGTCTTGGCCCGGAGTGTAGTTCCGCCTGCTAGCCTCCTTTATGACTCACATTCACGACCTGTCCTGCCCTCCCACGGCCACTGTGGGGGGTGGGAATCCCACCTGCTGTCTGCCAGGCTCTCCTGAGACCGGCATCATCTGACCTGCCTGATCGGCCCTGCCGCTGGTCGCCTGCCGGGCTGTCAGTCCTTCGCCCAGACGAACCAGAAGTGGGGTCCAAACACGACTTCATCGCTCCGTGTGGGCCACGCCCGCCCTAAGGAACGTCAGCCACGGCAGTTCAGGGCTCCTCCCCGATGCCCACCTCACAGGAGCACCCTGTGCCGACCCTCTGCTTGGACGCTGCCCGGCTCGGCCCGCACACCCCCAGCCTTGGTGGGCACAGCAGGAGTGTGGCAGGGGAGGCAGGTCTCGGGGTGCGGAGCGTGCTTGCAAACGTCTTACCTCTTACCAGACCAGTTCGAGTCGGGCTCTGCGTGTTTGTGCACACGCCGGCACACTGTCAAGTTTTACTTTTCAAACAGAGCCCCGTTCTGCTGCACGCAGCCCATGAGTCTGAAGCCCGCAGTGCCCGCCGGCCGCCTCCGCCGCCCCCGTCTGTGTCAGAGACATGCAGCTTGGCTGTAAAGTCAGGGAACGCCTCGTTCTATGCCCTGCGGTCCCCCTGCGGGACCTTATCCTGACGTCATCGACGAGGCTCCGGCCTCCGACTCGCTAACAGGAATCCCTGTGAACACCCAAGCTCGCATGTCCGCCCAGCTCCGTCCTTGGTGACGCTCCAACCCCATTACCCCGTCTGTACGTCGTCTCTTGTTTCTGCCCCTTACAACCACACGTGGGGCCTCCCGGGGCTGCTGCCCAATGTCAGGAGCTCAGGGACGCCCCGGGATCAGGACCCGCTGCACTGGGGCGTGCACATCTGACTTCTCCGGATGGTCCCACCCTGTGCCCGCGTGGATGTCCCTTATGGCTGTTTCCTGACAGCACATGACACTTCCGTGGGACAGCGCCCATGCAGGCCAATCCCAGGAGTCACAGTATCACACAGCAATCTCCACTTGCATCTTCCGGATGGCTGGGAGGTTATGGTAAACTCCAGAAGGTGGGTTCCTAGAATCTAGACCTACCTCCACGTTACAGGGGAGGAAACTGAGGCCCAGAGGCTTCAAGACCGGCTGCTCGGGACGGGGAAGCCACAGCCAAGCCCCTGGCCGAGCCCTCGGCCACATGTGTGCGTCTGACACATTGACAGGAGGAAAGCCCACAGCATAGTCCCATTGCGCTGCCCAGATGACACCCAGAAGAGCCCCTGCACCCCGGCCTCGGAGACGCCAGCTGCTCACAAGGGCCTGTCCCCCTCACGTGGCACTTTCTCATCAATGCTCAGAGGCCGTTGCCGAACAGTGGGGAAGCCTGGGCCTGCCTCCATGCATCAGAGAACAGTCAGGTTGCTCAAGAAGCTAGCATCTGCACAACTAGGTCCTGACGGTGAGGTGGCCGCCTCCTGGGTTTGTGGCCCTGGATGAGCATCTCGGGGCAGGGATGTGCTGTGTGCTCAGCCTCTTGAAGTGGGGGTACGGGGTGTGCCACCCCTCAGGGCTAGAAGGCACAGGACTGATAGCTGGCCAGTCGGAGAGGGCAGTGAGCAGCCCGCTGGGCCGGGCTGAGCTAAAGCTGTTCACAGAGCAGTAACACAGCCCCACGTGGTCCCCCAGCCATGGCAGGGACGCAGGCCCGGGCCTCTGCAGAAGCCAGCCAGCCTTCCGGTGGGGCCAGACCCTGCTCCCCGCACTAGCTCCCTGCCCGCTAAGAAGTGGGACCCTGTCCCTCCTGGGGCTCTCACTGCTGATCCCGAGCCCGTGGCCCCTGCCACTGAGCTGTCTGTGGCTCGGGGCATGAGAGAGGCCTGGCCCCTCAGACCCCGCGGGGCACCTCTCATTGTGGCTGAACTGGGTCCCCCAAAAGCTATGTTGGGTTCCTAACCGCCAGCCCCTGAGGAAGCGGCCATACCCAGAGGCAGGGCTGACGGTGTTACATGAGGCCATCGGGTCCTGACGCCGTCTGCCCGGTGTCCTCAGGAGAGAGACTGGGACACAACCTCCCATGAGGGAGCCCGCGAAGACACAGGCTGAGATGTGGTCGGCAAACAGGTCCCTCCCCCGCGGCCCCCTCAAGGAACCAAGCCTGGCCCGACCTTGATCTCGGACATCAGTCCCGGCCGGGGAACGGCTGCTGCTGAAGCCGCTGGGCGTGAGGCGCTCTGGCTGGATAGTCCCGCGCTGCGCCAGCGGCTGTCCCCGTGGAGGGACCAGCTCTTACAAAGACTTCGGCCTTGTTCTGGTCCCAGAATTCGGGAAGAGTGCGGACCAGCTCCCCTGTCCTGCCGTCCACTTGGCACTGCCGCCCAGGGCCTCCCCGAGCTCAAGGGCAGACCCGTCCCCAGACGCCCGCAGACCCTCTCTCCTGGCACTGGTGCCTCTGTCCATCTGCTTCATGAACTAGCCAGTCCAGGGGTCTGACCTCCAGATACCCTCCCAGGCGCCCCCCAGCCCCCGTCTTGGTGGAAACCCCCATATTTCCAACAAAGCATTTGCATGGGAATAGAAACCGAGGTCACCCATCTGCCACCCTCTACACCGTCAGGGTGATGGCCAGTGACCGTGTGCAGAGGGGCTGCCTTTGGTGCCTCGGCCCCTCTCCCCGCCAGTGTCCACGTCACAGTGGGAAAGCAGCAGGGGACCCTTCGATGGCGTCCAGTAGCCCCATGGCCAAGTCTCCTGCATGGCTCCGTACTGGTCTCTGTGGGTGACCCGTGCCCCCCCGCCCCGAGAGCCCGGGACGAGCTACCGCCACGGGTCGGCCACTCCAACCGCTGCCCAGTCCAAGCCGAGCTCCCAGCCCGTGGCCTCACCTGGCCCGTCCGAGGACTCTCTGAGTGCGAGTGTAACCACGGCCAGATGGGGGCTGGTGACGGCAGAAGACGCTTGGTAACACCAGAAACGTATCGTTCTTAACGCTCCGGGCGCGTGCTTTCCGCCACAGGGCGTGGACCGCCGCGCTCCGTGCAGATGTCGGCCGTCCACACCCAAAGTCCATCGTGTGGCCGAGCCAAGAGGTGGCCGCTAGCTTCCCGCCATCCCACCTCCCCGTCCGCTCCGCTGGCCCGTGTGGCATACAGAATGGCCCTGGCCTGCTCAGAGGCAGAAGAGGAAGGCCTGGCTGGTGGCACTTGGGCTTTACTGGGCCCGAGCCCCGGTGCTGGGTCTGCGTGCGGAGCCCCGAGGCCACACAGTGTAAACCAGACAGACTGCTGGAAACCAGGAAGGAGACGGAGGGGATTTTCTCAAATATTCTTAAACTACCTCCCACAATGCAGGTGGGGACACAAACCATCTGAAACGCAGCCCAGAACCAGGACCAGGCCTCCTGCCCCCGAGCCACCAGCCTGGGCGTCCCAGAAGCAAACACGTCTCACTCACACTAGGACTCCCCGCTCCCCCGGGCTCCCGCTGTAGACGCGGCCTGGACGAGCGTGTCTGGGTGGTTCCCCGGCCCGCGGCCGATCTGATGTGAGCAGGGGCCCCAGGGGCGCTGGCGGCAGACATCCTGCTGACGGCGACACGGCAGGACGGAGCCAGCACCTCCGAGGGCGCCCGCTGCAGGGAGTGGTGGGCACATCCTGCAGCCCCACGATGACATCATGGATGAGAACACAATGTGGCCACTGTTGTCTTCCTGGAGCTCACCACAATGACAGGGGAAAGGACTGTCTCCCGTCCACTTGTTACTGAACGAGGCTGAGAAGTAGCAAAGGTATTTTGACGTGTTCCGCTACAATTTCAGACTAGACAGACACGATCGTATTGTTGAGGCTTTAAGGGGCTACTTTTAGTGCCTGAGTAAGTCCACGTACAGAGACCACCTTATCCTCCTATCGGCCGAAAAACAGGACATATTTCTTGGCTAATAATCCTCTGTGGCCAGTTCTACCTCTTCCACATTGGGAACCGCCGAGGGAGGGAACTCCTCTAAGAGGAGGCGTAGAATCACGGCTGTCTGCGGGTGACAGGTCTGGATCCTGTAGACCCCGGAGAAGCCACCAGAACTGAAGCAGGACCATGACCAGGAATGGGTCGGTGGAGAGAGGAAACGCCGCGGACAGAGATCTGCATTCTCGGAACGTCCGGTAGCGAGTTCTAACGGACGTCACCCGAGGCACCAAGATGACAGAGAGGCAGGGTTGTTTCTCACTTGGTGGTTCCAGGACCCTGGCCCCTGGGGGTCATCCGAGACCCTGAGGCAACCTAGGAAGCCAGGCACTGACAACAGGGGCTCCCAGCCGCTGGCAGCTCCGCAGTTCTAATTCTTGGTGTCCCAGGTCGTCCCACGGTCTCGCCAGCCGGCAGAACCGGCAAAGTCAAAGTCCAGGCAGGACTCGGGACGGCCCTAAAGCCAGTGGGTAGCCTGCTCACGGTCTAACACTCCGTGATGGCCCCGGGCCGTGTCCAGGCAGCCCAGTGGGCACACATCCACAGGAACGCGCACACGCAGACGGCCCGGCAGAAGACAAGCCCTGAGGATGCTGGCAGTGGAAGTGACAAGACGCCCAGGGACGGCTCAGAAGAAAGAGACAGAGCCCGACAAGGAAAGCTCCGCGCAGCTGGAAAGGTGGGAAGTGGAGCTAAACACACTGAAAACTCGGTGTGGCAGATGCCGCCGTCGGCCTCCCGTGAGTGCCCCCTCACAAGGCCGCCCACGGAGGTGGGGTCCGCTCCCTGGCTCTGGCGCCCAGGCTAGCCTTGGGGCTCCCCTGACAGCTGAGGCCTCGCAGCCTCCCCACTGAGTGAGGGTGGATGGTGGAAGGTGGGCCCCACAGCTGCGGACCCCCAGCACTGGGTGCCAGCTGGCTGCACCCACACCAATGACCCCAGCGGAGACCGGCAGTGGGACTGTCCCCCGGACCAGGGTGCGGAGCCACGGAACTACGGGCCAGTAAGGTGGCGGCCACTCCGAGGGCTACATCCAGGCGGTTTCTTAGCGATGCCTGGATACCACGTGAACCATTCTTTCTAAGCTCATTTATAAACGCACCTGAAGCCGAGTCAAAATACCAACAGGTTCCCCCACCCCTGCCGGGAGCCAGACAGCAGATCCCGCAGCTCCAGTGGAAAAGGAAACAGGAAGGAGAAGCCGAGGAACCCATGAGAAAGAACCAGGGAGGAGCCTGCAGGGGACCCAGCGAGCACAGAGCCCCCACACGCAGGGCCCGAAGGCGGGCAGACCTGGCGGCCCACGCACCCCACAGCCAGCGGCTGGCCCCGCGTGTGGACAGCCCGTCTCACACGGGCACCCGACGTCCTGCTGTGCTTGTACTCGGGCCCGTCTGTCTTGTCACTGCATGCGAGGCTGTTACAAAGGACAGACCACAAAAGTAACTTAAAGCCATTACCGGGCTCATGAGAATCTTAGCATCACGTAACTTCGCAATCAGTGGGTAAAAATGACCCAATTAAACGACATATGAAAACCCCCCTCAGGGCCCATGTGTAGCACGCAGCCTCTGTGGGCTCCCCCCACTGCATGACGCCTGGTGGGAATCGAACCCCCAGAGGGCACCCCAGCCCCAGATCTAAGCCCTAAAGGAACCCATCTTTGACGGGCTGGTCTGGGGATGGTCGAGGGGCCCTGTTCCAGGTGGGGCATGTGGGAGGAGTCCACAAGAACTTTCAGGAAGGTGCCTGCTTTTGTCAGCTAAGGGATCCCTCTGGCAATGCTCTCTGGCCTCTGGCCTCTTTAGGCGAGGAAGAGTGTCCTGGGGCAGCAGCCTCCTTGGGAGCCAGAAGACTCACAGCGTGGGCAGCAGGAGGAAGCCCCCAGTCCTCCGAGGCCCGAGCCTGCCTGGGCAGCTGCGCGCCGAGAGAGGCAGAGAGGACAGACTGGCAGGGTTTAAGTCCCGCCAGTGATTTAAGGATTTAAGTGACCGCCACGTCCGTCACCGTGACTTGTGCCGGCCTGCAGGGGCTCCGTTGCTGCTCCGTCCCGGCTTGCTACAGACGGCGCGTGCTGCCTGTGCACATCTGTGACCAGCACGGCTTCTTCATCTCGAGCCCCTCACACCCCATCATGCCGTGTCCGTGCAAAGGTTCCTGGAAGGACAGAGCGACCAGAACCTCTGGAGTGCGTCCACCCAATGGTCACCACTGAGAGCCTCAAACCCTGGCCTGACCCGGACCAGCCGCAGGTCTCTGGGGAGCAGGTCCACAAAGCTCGCAGGAGAAGCGGCTTGGGGCTCAGATGAAAGGGAGCCGCCAATGTCCCTGCAGGCACGGAGACCCTCTGGGTAGGAGGTTTCCAGAAGAGCCACATGGGTCAAAGGGACCCAGGCCCCCAGACCACCCCCCAGTGTGGTGAGAGGTGTCCCAGCAGGTGCCGTCTGAGAAGGGGATGGGAGCCCCAGACCAAGGACAAGGACAGTAGGGCCGTCATTACCCCAGTGGAGGCAGCCGGGTCTGTTCCCGTGATGTCCGCAGGAGCCTGGCATGTCGGGGAGCCTGGAGCTGAGCGTGCACCGCGGGTGCAGAGAGGGCAGCTGCCGAAGGACCTGGGGGGCCCCGCCCTGCCCACCCACCCTCCCCAGCTCTGCAAGCTCCAGCCTCTTCCGTCCCTCTGAGGTGGTTTGGCTTGTTCTGCCGGCTAGAGCGGTGATGTCGGCTGCGAGGCGGGAGGGATGGAGAAGCTCCCACGGCCGAGCCTGGTGATGGCACAAGAGACTGTGGCAGGTCCCAGGGCCTGCGGGACACTGCAGTGCTCCTCACACCAAGGTGGTCAGCGGCACTGGTGCAGAATTTTCTCCAGTGGGGACAGACTGTCAACTGAGTTCCCGAACACGTGTGCACGCGCACACACAAGGCTCCTGGAGACACATGTGTACGTGTGCACATGCGTTTTCATGCATGCACAACCACACATGCGCTGTCACGCACACGTGCTGTGGTGCACAGTGCTCTTGCACACATATGTGCGCACACAATGCTCATACACAAAGGCGCACACGCTCTTATACACATGCACATGTGCATGTGTGCGACACTCCTTGTTCAGGCACACGTGTGCACATGTATGCACAGCATCTCACAACACAACACACACATGCATGCAAGTACATGCTCTTGCACACATGTGCCTGCGCACACACATGCACACCCACGTGTATACACGTGCTCACACGTCCAAAAACAGTCATAGCGATGCTGACTTGTAATCTTGTGACCACGAACCACCCCTCATAACAACGGCATTTTACTTTTAGAGAAAGACAAGGGTTCACTCCGGAATTACTCAGGGGCTCGGTTGTTAATGCACTTTCCTACGAGTACAACACATTTCACAAGGTGAAAACTTATACGGGGGCTCTGGTTTTCCCTGGGATGCAAAGAGCTCATCACTCCCGCCCTTACGACAAGACGAAAGCCAGACGAGTGGCACGTTCATGGCTTTCTTGGCCCCACCAGGGACTGGAGGTCACAGGACAGCCAACTGACAGGAAACCTAAGGCAAGATACAGACATGACTCCTCGGTTCCCTGAGGGTTCCCTGGGGCTTCCCTGGGGCAGATGTGGGTTTCAGAAGAGGAGTTCAGCTGGAAAAGCAGACCTGGCGAGGCCGGGGACAGCATGAGGTCCCAGAGCTGCGGGGGGACGGGGGCGCAGGGGGGAGCCTGCCCTTTCTCTGACCTCATCGCATTCCTAGCAGATGGCACAGGGGTGCCTGGGCAGAGTCCTGGGAAAGCTTTTCCAGTATGAACCCCAGAACACACGGGCATTTACGAGAGTTTACTACCTAAGAACGCAAACCTTAAAGGATAAACAAAACCATTGACAAAGATGAAAAAAATGTCACATTAGCCATGAAAGAGTCACCGTGTTTAAAAATTAGATTTAAGAGAGGTAGGGATTCTAAATGAGATAAGCGAAGTGGGTTTCAAATGACCACCCTCCGCTCCCCTCACAGCTGTGGGAGAGCCCGCGGGTCCCTTCCGTCCCCAGACACAGGCGCGGTTTGGAGAAGAGCCCCCATCACCCAGCCACGGGCTCCCACTTGAGCTTCCTGTCTGCGTGTAAACCCAGAACATCTCCTATCTGCATGTTCTGTAGCGGTCTCCAAAACCATCACTGACGCTTATGAAACATGCGAAGTAGAAGGTGGCACGAAGACGTCCTCCGCCAAGTCCAGCATCCCGCCTTCCGGGGCGGCAGCGGACACGGAGAGCAGGAGACGCAAAGAGCGACATGCCCAGAGCTCGCGTGGCCAGCACTGGGAGCCGCGCCCTGCCCTTTCCTCCTCCCCTGCTGTCACCGTCCCCCAGACAGCAAAGCAGGAAGGGTCTGTGCCTTGGGGGCTCGCACACCGCCTGCTCCGGCCCTCAGCTGCCCCGCCCCCACCGAGTTTCGGGGACTGCACTCGCGAGGATGCGAGCCGAGCTTGTGCTTGACGTGGGCAACGAGGTTCCACATCCCCTTCAAGTGCTGGGAGCGGGCCTGGGCTCAGCTTCCCCAGCAGCCGGTGGACCCCGAGAGAAGCAGACGCTGCTCCCCTTTGTGCCACACCCCCGGGAAAGCGTCCCAGTGTGAGGT